ATTTCACTTGACTTTTCATTAGCTGGACTTTTTCTATGTTCAGTTTCAGTCCTGCTTCTTCCAACAAGAACTCAGACAAAAAAGCAATATGTTCCTCTAAATTCTGTGTACATAGCAAAAGCTTACCCACATGTTGAAAAATACATTCTGGCCTAGAGAATTGTGATCAAATCTTAGCTATAGACTCAAGGAATAAATTATCACTGATATCTAGAACGGGAGTAATCTGGTGAACACATAGGTTTCTTGCTCAAAGGTAAATGCAAACTTGTACTGACAATGTCAAGCTATTGGTATAGAAAGGTGACTATTAGTGATCTCCAGTATATATAATGCCTTGACTTTGGCATTTAAATGTGATGTCAGGATAATTAGGAACAGTTATTTGTGCTGCATATATTCAGTGTTCTGAAATCAATTAATAAAGAATATAAATTATCAGCTATTTGAACTCCTGTATAATAGTTGAAACTGGACCAATTGATTCCAATAGTAACTTCTATTGATCATACCATTTAGGACCCCTGCTTTCAACATCAATATCTTTACACAAACCTGCTTCATTTTTAATGTACACCAAAGATTTTTGCGTGATCAAACCAATTGTTCCAATTTAAAATTGTCATCAATATCTGGCCAATTATGGTCTAAAGATATATCAGTAATTGTCCATATACTTCCAACATTACAGTACTTGGAAGGATCATTTAACACTGATTTGGGTTGGATGGATTTTTCCAAATAATTACATTTCCCAAATCAATAACCCTATTCAGTTTACTGATTTGATCAATGACAAGAATATTCTCTGCACTGTGACAAAACCATATGTCAGTGTCTGCTTTCACAAGGACAGGTATCTCAAAAGTCGCATTTGAAATCTTTCTGGCAGTAGAATTGCCTTTCCCATTAAATCCAACTATATTGTACTTAAGAGAATTAAGATTCATGTTTTTGTTTAGGTAAACTCAGCTCTGCTTCCGTATCTAATAAACATTTTATGTTTCTTCCTTTCAGTAAACCTTGTACATGCAGTCTTCCACTTTCATGCAATAAAATTGGAGCAACATATTCTATTAGTAAGATCGTCAAATCTCAGTTTAATTCTTATTTTGGCAATGGCAATAAACCTTTTCTGTCAATGACTACAGGGTTTGCCATATTATTAGAACCACTGTTGCTGGCTGTCAGTGTACTTATTTGTGTATGTACTGAGGTTTAAGGCATCTCAGTCACACTATTGTTTGGAAGAGCAGATTACACAGAAGTTGTTTTTACATTTTTTTGTTTTCAAAGTTTTCAATTGTGAATCTAATTTATATTTCCAACAATGTCTTTTCAAATAACCAGGCCTTGTCTGTGAAGTGTCTCTCAATATATTTGGGTGTGGCTGCACAGGTATCATTCCTTTGTTCACCATTTTGAACGGCTCCACTGTCAATCTGCTGATTGGCCAGTTTAATTCTAACTAAAAATAAAATATGAGGCATCTTTCAAGATTTGCTTCTGAGCAGCCACTGCAAGAGGAGTTGGGCCTAAAAATTAAAATTTCACTACAAAATCTATAATCATGGCAGATGGGTTGTCTGAATTCTATATGCCTTTTCAAACTTTCTCATAAAAGTAAATGGATCATCTTTACATGGAATTTGTAATAATCAATAATACGGCTACAATCAACTTAAATAATCAAGAATATCTGGAGTAGTAATTTCTTCTCCAGTATGGAAATTGATGAATTCCTTTCGTCTGTCTGACTCAGTGTAATGTATTGTCTGTCCTTCATCTGTTACTACTGCTGATTTGAATGGCTGGCTGTATTGACATGGCAGCCACACCATAACGCATTGATTTTTCTGCTCATTTTTCAAGTTGAACCTATCTGTATGTGATTCAAATACTTCTGCGTTATCAACAACATTCTCATTTTCATCATTAGGAGGAATGTCTAACAATTCTAATGAACCAGACAAAAATTTTAAGTTCTGCAGATTTGTACATTGCTTTTCTTTTAAGCATATCCTCATCCTGCAAATCATTTTCTATAAACCAAATGTCTGGAACAAAAGACTGTTGTTGGCTAATCTCTTTCTTAGATTTTACAGAAATTCCTTTTACATCATTCTATGATTCAGACAACTGAACATTTTTAACTTGAATTTCATTTTGCAGGTCATTTATATGCTTCATCAAAAATCTGACAATTAGCACATTCACTGTTGTCTTGCTATGACTCTGTCTTATTCACTATACAAACAGTGTTCCTAGTAGAAACCTCAAAAATCATAGAGGTAACCTTGACTAAACCTTAAAGTGGTTATAAAGGCTCTCTATGCATGAAGGTAAAAAACCTTCTCTGTGCAGCATCCCCTCCACCCCCTCTCGATCCAGCGATGTGCACTGGAGTCTTGGCTGTCCCGGGACTCCCTCTTCTCATTGGCTGAGACAGAAGGATGTCAATCACAGTCAGTGAGCCAATAAAAAGAAAGAGGGCAGGGCTGAGCCATGGCTCCATGTGTGAATGGACAGATGGAGCAGCGGGTGCCCCCATAGTAAGCTGCTTGATGTGGGGGCACCCAACAGGAGGGAGAGGCCAGGAGCACTGGCAGGGGACCCTAGAAGAGGAGGATCCAGGCTGCTCTATGCAAAACTACTGCACACAGCAGGTAAGTATAGACATGTTTGTTATTTTTTCTTTAAAAAAAAAAAAAGCCTTTAGAGTAACTTTAACTAACTTAATTGTGTTTTAATTTTTTTGTTCATTTTTTTTTTTTTTAAAGTAAATCTAGATTTATCTATCTTAATATTAGCCTGCAGGCATTCATTATACATGTACTGCCAAAGCTGACCATCCTCAGCATAACTAGACAGGTTTTTGAATTGTAATTTACAGTACATTCCCTATATAATTCAGCGATAAAATCCATTACTTACACTTAGGAATGTCTTCCTTTGTGTAATTCGTCTTTTCTCTCTTAACAGGGAACTACATCACCAGAGGATAGTTTTTTTCCACACGTGGAAAGTTCTCACCAGTCTTTTTTCATGTAGACTTTAAAGTCTATTTATTTTACTTCTCCCAATCTAGAACAAATAAAAATATAGCAACTCAAATTATCTTTGAGGTCAATACATTCACACATATTAGTATTGCTAATAAGCAGATATTAGATTAAGGAAGGCTTCTAACACATATGCAAGTGGATGTTAGCATTTTTTTATGGTTTTTATAATTTTATACTGTATATAGGTGGGCTTCCTGCTTAACTCAAATTGCAAGTGTAGCAGTCCCTTTTTTAAGAGAGGCAAATAGCGGGAATTTGTGTATCAATAGTAATATATATGGGCAGAAAGTTTAACATTAGATGTGTTGATTAGTGTCCTCTTCTAAATATAATATAGCAAAGGGGAAAATAATAGTTTTTATATAATTATGACAATGTAAAGATAACAGTCAGAGGGAAAATGTAAGAGACTAATCTTTAACCTGGAAAAGTATCACAAATTATTAAAACCCATTCAGCATAGTTAACGACAACCAGACCTATTTATCAACTGTCTAAGACCCCAAGCACATGGGTAATGGTGTACGTGCAAAAAAAAAGGATTTATATGTGTTTATAAGACAGGAGAAGGGGGAGATTTACTAAAAATGGTGCACTCAGAATCTGGTGCAGCTGTGCATGATAACCAATCAGCTTCTAACTTCAGCTTGTTCAATTAAGCTTTTATAACAAAACCTGGAAGCTGATTGGTTTCTTTGCAGAACTGCACCAGATTTTGCACTCTTCAGTTTCCAGTCTCCAGTAAATAACCCACGTTGCTTGAAGTGGTATTAAACCCAAAAACAAATATTTAAAATATTTTAGCTTTCTTAGGGTGTCTCCACCCAGAACCGTCCTCCGCGCTAAGCTGTTTTTGCTTCAATCGGATCCATTTACTTGATCCAGCCCACATGGGTTTTTTTGCATTCTACATTTATACATTTTAGCACATACATAAAAGTATCAAAATACATAAAAACAGCATTAAAAGTCAGTAATAATAAGTAGCTTCACTCAGATAAGGGAGGCACCATAGGATAAGCATAAGAGCAGGAGAAAAACAATACACTGCATAAACACATAACATAAATACCATCATCAGGACACTACTCAGAATGAACTGCAGATCATTTGCCCACCCGGAGATTGAGGAAGTGAGAGGATCCATACTTGTTTTGAAGCGCTTGTTATTTTAAATACAATGTAAGTGTGATTTTAATAAATATTGTTTTTTCACTAACTTACTACACTATATGAGGCACTATTTCATTAGGGTGAGGTACTGGCATCCGGTGGAATGGAGGATTTCCAGTATTACCTCAACTGCATAAGGACTGCCCACAGTACATTTACTGCTGCAGGGCGGCCCCTGTGCGCAGCATCACATGTGTGTGTGTGTATATATGTATGTATGTGTGTGTGTGTGTGTGTGTGTGTGTGTAATATATATATAATTAGTTTTTGCAGGCTGGGGGGGTGCGCACGTAACCCCGCCAACCCGCAGATGCCCTGATTTGATCCCCGAGGGATCAATCATCCGATTTAGGCCAGTGATGTCCGGCCCAAATTGGATGATCGATCCCTGTCCTAACCTGTCCTGTGTTGACAGTTACACAGGACAGTAAGTGATGAAATCTTCTCTCTCTGGGCACATTCCATCCCAGAGAGAGAAGAATCAAAACAAAAGTGAGTACAAGCACTACACAATTAGTTATAACACTCTAAGACACATTTAACCCCTTGATCGCCCCCCCCCCAGTTAACCCTTTCACTGCCCTGTCACCAGTGTCTTCAGTACAGATTTTTTGCTGATCACTGCATTAGTGTCGCTGGCGACTTCAGATAGCGCTTGCGTCAATTAGTGCCCCTCCCAGATAGTGTCCGATTGCCTGTTAGTACACCAGTGATCACATTTAACCCCTTGATTGCCAGGAACACACTCACTTACACAATAAACCTCCATTGCTAGTGTAGTGTCTGAATGGATCAATATCTTTGATCAAATCATCACTATACCAGCATTGACATTAGTATAGCATCCCCCAGGGGCAGACTGACAACTCATGGGGCCCCTGGGCAATAGGGGATCATGGGGCCCCTGTGTCCTTGCCCAAACTCAAAAAAGCCTATGAAAAAGGTACCCCCAAAAATGCAGCATTAGCTGGATCAGCCCCGGCACCTGCGTTTAGCCCCTACATTTACCCCCTCCTTCTCCCCCAGCAAGAGCAGTGTCAGTAGGTCACTGTGACCTGATACATTGCACACAAAAATGCAGTGCTTGCAGAATCAAAAAATAAAGAGCGCACAGGTGATCAAATACCACCGAAAGCTTTATTTGTGTGAAAAAAAGGACATAAATTTAATTTATGTACCATATTGCATGACCATACAATTGTCAATTAAACTAGTGCAGCACTGTATAGTAAACAATGGCATAAATTGCAGTATCTATACCATAGTTTGTAGAAGCTATAGCTTTCACACAAAGTAATCAATATACACTTATTGGGATTTTTTTTACCAAAGACATGGAGCAGAATACATTTTGGCCTAAATTTATGATTAACTTTGAGTTTACTATATATTTATTTTATATCCGAAAGTAAAAAATATTGTTTTTTTTTTCAAAATTTTCAGTCTTTTTTTGTTTATAGCGCAAAAAATAAAAAGCGCACAAGTGATCAAATACCACCGAAAGAAAGCTCTATTTGTGTGAAAAAAAGGACGTAAAGTTTGTTTGGCTACGGCATTGCATGACCACGCAATTACCAGTTGAAATAGTGCAGCGCCGAATAGCAAGAAAAGGCCTGGTCATTAAGGGGGGTAAATCCTCAGGAGGGTAAGTGGTTAATATTATCCATTACATGGGAGGGGGAGTTGATAGCCCTCTTGTGGCTAAAGGAGATATTGCAAGGTCCGGATTTGTGGAGATGGCTTGTTAAATATATGCAGTTGTTACATGCGCTGAAGATGACTGGTATCCGCTGCAACGGAGGACTTCCAATACCATCTTAAAAGTATCCATTACATGGGAGGAGGAGCAGATAAAGGCGATATCGCGAGGTCTGGATGTGTGGAGATGTCCTATTATTAACACACAGTTTTTTCATGCGTTGGAGGTGAGAGTTCTGTGAGCACCGAACGGCACTATTTATTGCATAAAAATTCACACTCACTACGGAATTGCAGTTACGGTGTTTAAATCGTGTGATATTTGGAACCATATGAACTTATTTATTGAAAGCACTGTAGCATCTTTATTCACATTATTCATCAGTGTATGATATTTATATTTACTCACTTATGTTTTTAGTCATTTATTAGTATTATTATTATGATTATGAGCACAGTATATTCACTTGTATTGTTCATGATGACAGTTTGATGTCTATTCATTAGCAGCTCTGCATCACTTTATTTATTAAGTTGATATTGTGGGAACACAATTGATGTTAGCAGCAGCATTCAATTTAATTCGTCATTTTTACTGTTTAGTAGGTGCAGAAGTTCACTTCACTCATTGATTGGTATGAAGTATGGTTCTTGCAGAGTCATAATGACAATACTGCGTGACTTGGAGAGTCTTTGAAATATGACTCTCACCATAATTTATTTACTGTATTTGTGCATATGGCATGAAAAATAACCGGTATTAGAAATTGGGAGAGGATAAAACAAAAAGAAAATAAAGATGGTGGAAGAAGGAGAAAAGATGGGCTGGGCTGGGGCAGCATAAACATTCCAACCATGAATGGGAGGGACTAGAGGAGCAGAAGGCAAAGTCAAGAGGTGCTACATCAACCAGATAAGACTTCCTTGATTTCATCAGATTTGGACAATATTGCACACCTGCATTCAAAAGAGTTGAATGACTGGACATGTCCAGAAGTTGTGCAGATAACTTGCAGGTGTTCCAACACATCTCCAGCAAATTGCAGGAAATTGCAGATCCCCTCATGTTTTGCATTGTATTGGTATTGTTCTGGTTCTGTCCCCCTTTGTATACAGCGCTGATACTATTGCGCTTTATGTAATAATAATAATAATAATAATAATATAGCATGTAGTTTAGAGGGGATACAGTACCATCTTGTGACAATTGTGTAGCCTTGCTCTTTATACTTATTACTAATGGAAGACTTATATGAAAGATTGAGTTTCTTGAAATATTGACAGATGGAAAGGGGGTTCTTCTCCCCTGCAGCTGCTGTCACATTTAAAATTGTCATGGCTGCGCCTGCACAGCTGTGTCATTTATTCACACGAATCTGTGAAAGCATAAACTACAAGTCCCATCTTCCTCTGTAGCAGATGGCTTGTATTTTTAAATGGAATATGAGTGCACTAATCAGCATGCACATAGTCCATTCTCTCTTCTTCCAGCTTTCTAACTGAAAGCCTGTATGGAGGTATGGGCTGAAAAATGGAGGGAGATTATGCAACAGCCTGACATTCACCAGCAATCATCTGAATGTGGATGGAATGCTTCGCAAGGCTCCTCTAGGAGAAAATATTAAATGCACAATCAAAAATATATGTACATTTACTACCTTAAAGGTGTGCTAAATAAACTTACATACGGTACCAGTGACATTGCTGGAGTGCAACCCTTTGTTTGTGGTGTATGTGTGGAGCAGGGACAAGCTACCTGAGCTTAACACCCGGTGCTTACACTGAGGGGAACCAGGAGTTCTGTTAGTGGTGGTTCTCTAAGAGATCTTCTAACATAGATGAGAGCTGCTTTACCTGCCAGAGGATTTGTATTTCTGTCTGTATGTCATACATTGATGAAAGTGGGGAGTTTACGCCATGACGCTGTACATTACAGGTGTGGAAGCAGGGCCCTGCTTTTCGAGTTGCTCTATGTCTTTGTTCATGTCTGTTCATCTCCCTTAGCTAGTAAGAACCTGGAAGAGAGAAGGATTTCATCACTCCTGGGTTCTGCTGTCACTTTCCCTGGCCACAGAGACAGGGAAGAAACTAATGGAGCACAATCTGCGGTCTGATAGACCCCTGATGTTTCATTGAAGAGAACCTGTCACAGTAAAAATTATATCACATGGGGGCTATTGGCCCCTATGCGATAGCAATAAAGGCAAGTGAAAGAAACCCAAGAACTTAAGAAACCTCCCAAAGGTTTTGAACACGCCCTGCTCCATGTAAATATATCTTTAAATGCACACATTGATTATGCTACACATTACATACTGTATTACCACACATGATGGAGTGAGAGCAGCAGTTAGAGGGTCATTATTCATAGTTAACTCTAAATGGATGACCTGTAGCGGCTTTTAAAGCATCTCCTATTTGGTACTTTGTGTACCAAAGTTTGTTATCATGTAGGCACACACTACTTTAAGGCTAGACATGTTGGATATCTATTTACTTGGCACAACTTCATCTTTTATCATTTGAAAATTGAAATTTGGATAATATATTGCCTTTATATGTGCAGTAATGATAACGTTAGTGTATTTTTCTCTGGTAAACAATTGCGATAATATCATGTGACATAAAAAATTGAAATTGCCACCATTTTACTCTCCAGGGTCTCTGTTATCAGAAAATATTTACTGTTTGGGGGTTTTAACTAATCCTCAGACCTAAAATTATATATTTTTTTTCATGTGTGCAAAAACAAAGAAGCCGAGGAGATGGTTATGGAGCGTCTGTTCTATAAGGTCAGTCTGAGAACAACTGCACCATTAGTACAACACTTTATAGAGATGTGTATGGAGGAGCCAAGAGGTGACAATCTTGTCTTCTTGTGAAAAATCTTCAAAGGGAACCATTCTAAAGAAATGTTAGGCAAGTCAAAGGGAGAGAAAAATGAAAGCGTAGCACACACAGTAATACCTTTTTGTATGTAATCTTTGCTGGCTTCTAGGGAGGCTCATCAATCCGCAACTTCAGAAGTCTCCCATCTTTGGCTCTTTGTTCAAGCAGTAAATCTGATCCTACTATTAGTGAACAGATCATCATAAGCGGCTGATAGGGACACACTTAGCAATACAAACATCCACTTTATGGGATAAGACAGAAGAGTCATTTAACCTCTCCGAGAAAGTCTAGCTGAGCTGTCACATGATGAGTTCACAGATATCAGAGGTTCCAGCCATGAAGGAGAAAAAAGAAAAGACCCAGCAGACCTTGGAAGTATCACATGTACTAAAGAGATATGGTAAAGTTTATTATTTTTATGCATCGACAAGTAGTCATTATTCAATGCTTTTCTGCAAAGGCAGATCTACATTCTACGGATAGAAATGGCTTTATTCCTATTGACAGTTGTCATCATCCACTTTGGTTGAAAAAAACATTCCTAGGGGCCAATTTATAAGGATCAGACATAACTGTCAAAATATGAGAGATTATTACTTACAAGCTAACATATTAAAGAGGAGATTTCTCGAAAAAAGTTATCAAGCAGCAATAGAAAGGGAGACCTTATTGAGCATTCAGAGGACCAATATACATTCTAAAATGATTTGTCCCTTTTATTACTAATTTTTCAGTTCAACATTCGCAAATTAGGAACATCATTACCAAACATTGGGGTATATTAAAAAAATGACTCTGTTTTAGGAGACTTTTTACCAGAGAAGCCCAAAGTAATCTTTCGGAGAGCTCCTACTCCCAGAGATAAAGTTGCACCCAATGTAGTTAATCCCCCTAAGGAAAGTTACCTTTTTTCTGACCTTAAAGGTTTTTTCTCCTGCAACCCTTGCATGATCTGTCAATTAGGGGGCAACAGGCGTAATAAGATTGTCTCATTTGCTTCCAGTATTACCAAAAGAAGTTATACCATCAATTCCTTTATCTCCTGTAATAGCCGTTATGTGGTATACTTGCTGGAATGTTCCTGTAATAAACAATATATTGGAAGAACAACAAGACTTATCAGAGATAGGATGAGGGAACATTTGTATAATATTAAAGTATTTAAAGAACATTCTCTATCCAAACATTTTAGAGATTGCCACAGGAGAAACCCACAAGGCATTAAGTTTACGAACATTGATATTAT